AAGCACTCTGAAGTCTTTGGTAAAAAATAACAGACACTTTTTATGGATTTTTGTGTGGACTTTTTGTACAACCAGCAATAAAATGCCTATAAATCAGAAAAGCAATTATGAGAAACCGTGCGAGAAAATGCCTCGCGAGAAAACACTTCAGCCAGATCACAGCAAAGCAGTTATGTGAGATATTTTTTCCCACATTTCTTATCTGAGCACCATAAAATCTATTGATTTGCGTGGACAGCTTGTTGCATAAAGTAAATAACTGTGAATTTTTCTAGTGGTAGATACTTAATGAGTCAGGTAAAAGGCGCCTGGGGCCAGTTCAAATCAATAGATATGGACAAGGAAAGATTCCTGACTTTCCCCACAATCCTAGAGCTTTCAGCTTCAAGGCAACTACACGACTTTAAAACACATTAAAACTCTAAAACCTTTCTGACCAGCAGTTTCTTATCCACAGAGAAGCCTTGAAAGCAAAAGGGAGAGAAAATAGCATCAGAACCTTGAGGAAATATCAGCATGTTCAGTTATTTTTAGCATCCTTTCTTGTTCCTTGACAGATTGTATCATTCCGCTTTTCGGTGTTTGTTAGTTCCAGAAAGCCCAAAGTATAGCTACTTTTTGTGTGCATGCCATACTTTTCATAACTCTACACACCATTTGCAGGTTTATTTGCAATCTGTAAAACATGGGCTACTACTGATGATCATTTTTTTCAAGTAAATCAAGTAATCTCTCTATACCTGGTGGTGTTTTTTTTTTATCTGACTCTTTCAGCAGGTTACATTGTTATGCCAGTAGGTGGCGACAAGTGGGTGTCTTAATGAGAGATTCATTGAATCATTCATCCAACTAATTCATTCAAAAACACACTTATTCATTCAAGAACGAAACAAATGAGTGAATAATTGAATAATTTCTCAAACAGTGAATCAAACACTGGTTGATTCAGGAACGAAACACCACTACTGTGGTTGTAACTATTTTCGTTGGTGGGTGAAATACAGACAATGTTACAGAAAATATTGTGAGTTACTGAATATTAACTGTTTGTTTATTCAACTATAGCCTATAAATGCAATATCACACTCAAAACTTTGCAATTTTGTCAAATATCAGCTATATATAGCCTATATATTGCATTCCATATAGCTTGAGTGCTTTCAGACATTTTATAGACCAGTATTATTTATGCATATATAAAATAAAATACACAAAATAAGGGAAATTGCTTTTATTCTAACCAGCTAGCCATTTTGCAAAAGTTTGTTTAAAACAGGGGTTCTGCTATACCACATTACAGAGAAAATAAAGGGTGAGTAGCTCTGTCCCACTTATTTTGTGTACTCTAAAATGAGGATGTTTTCCTGCATTTAATTAAAAAAGCTGCAAGAATAACATTTACCTGAGGGTAATAAACATGCCTGACATTTACAAAATGTTTTTAGGCATTTATGAAATGTTACACCATTACAAATTACCAATAACCACTGTTTCAAACTAAAATAATTGAAAATATTTCAATATGAGGATAAAACCATTGCCAAACCACTTTGTGCTTCAATTATTACTACAGTGAATATGACAAATTATCATGTAGAAAAGTATGAAGCCATGCACACAATCTGGAGCCTGGAAGTCTGCCAGCGCAAAATTTTTAAACCATATGCCGATTGCCATAATTTTGCTTAATAGTCATAACATAAAAGATAAAAGCACTGATCATGCAACTGTTACAGCAAACCAAATGGTTTTAACCAGCACTGTAGATACGTCTGGAAAGTAAATAAGGTACTGATTACACTTCCCGCACAAGAGAAGACGTGGGAGGCTGTGGGAGGGAAACAGGAAGGCAGGGCATGAAGGGTAATTAGGTTAAACTCAGAGCAGCTCTGCTTGGTTTACAAAGCCATTCTGACAGAAAAGCACCATTCACTATGAGATTAAATTTGTTGCATGGGGCCTGGCTACAATACTATACAGATCCATCCCAACACACAGGAGCAGGAAAGCAATCTGTTCATTCTCAGCATGTATATTATTACATCGTGCCTGGAACCATTTTGCCGGGGATCGGCATTTATTAGCACAATGAAACACAGATCTAGTGCAGAGCATCCTACATGTGTCCTGAGCTGCAGGTGCGGTGCTATATTACACAAACACTGTAAAATACATGTAATGCCACAGAGCTGGATGAAAAGGCATCCTCAAAGGTTCACCATGATCTATCATGGAAGCAAGCAATATTTTTTTCACAGATTCTGAAAACTAGTTTTCATGTGAAAATGGTCTATGTTTCTACTGTGCAAACAGTCACATTTTATTAAAATCCCATCTTGCCAGCAGTTAATTACACCTTTTTAAAAAATGGTGCTATCACACCATTTTGTTAAGTTTTCATAGTGGTGATTAAACAATGTATTAAGGCTCTTAAGCAAAGTTTAAAAAGTAAAAGCAATTCATGAAACAGCAGAAATGTTAAAGGAAACATGGAAAAAAAAAAAAGTTGCATTACCATTTACAGTATAAACATTTAACTTTTCATTACATGTAATTTTATTGTAAAATACTTTTATTTTTGAAGTTTTCCTATTGCCGTTTTAATTTTACTTAAAGTAGTTATTTTGTTGTGTTTTTGTCCATTTTATTTTTTTAATGTTATAGTTTTCATTCATTTTTATTTCAGTTTTAGAAATGTTCCTGTTTTCTATGGTTTTTGTTTTGTTTTAGATAACTATAATGACATTGTCAAATAGATATTAACATAATATCGCTAAATTAAACCTAACTAAAAAAGTGGTAAAATATAAACAGTAGGCATTCAATAATAACAGAAACATTGTCACATTATTATTTTTTTTAAACTGTGAATTTAACAGGATTTTTGTACGTGCATTATTTACTTTTTATACTTACACATTTGACTATGTCACAGAGCTAAGTCTAAGTCACTATGGGTGACTATGGATATCATAAATATCTGATTATTTCTAATTGGACAGAAATGTATCTCTCGAACTGCGTCCTCTAGAGGTCGCTATGGTGGACGCCTTTAGCGTGACCGGTGTCTGAAGCATACATCTAAACATGACAATAACATTGGCCGGCGACAGCCTATGACAGGGTTCCTCAAATCTTGCCCTGGAGGGCCAATGTGCTGCAGAGTTTAGCTCCAACCCTGATCAAACTCACCTACCTGTGATTTTCTAATGATCCTGAAGACATTGATTAGCATGCTCAGGTGTGTTTGATTAGGGTTAGAGCTAAACTCTGCAGGAAAGTGGATCTCGTGGGCCAGATTTGATGATCCCTGGCCTATGACGTCATTACCCGGCGCAATCACAGTATAAAAGGGCGCCGGGAGAACACGTCATCATCTTCTTCGTCTTCACTGAACATTTGTTTAGCGATAAGCTAAGCACGACTAGGAGTGCATGTTTTCTCGCCAGAAGCTTTGCTCTGATACCCACAGTTTCACAACGGCTCGCGTGTTGTGTGTGTGTGTGTGTGTGTGGTGAAGAGCAAGTGCGTTCAGCTTTCGAGGGAGTTAAATGCGCTCTGCATTCATTGCTTATTTCTTGTGAGAGATAAGTATGAATTGAATGCGCTCGACTCACGAGGAGACGGCTTGTGCTCATCGTGATGCATTCGCGGACTGATGCATTCGCGGGACTACTAAGGGGGAGGTGAGTACTTCACCATTTACCCGAGTTTGTATAGCATTTGCATGAGTGTGTTTGCCTTTTGTGGGAATAGCGACACATTCGCGGCAGCGGTTTCCGTTCTCGCTTGATTTCCGAGGTAATCTAGCACGTGGGCGGAGTGTGTTTAGCTCCCGCGGAAACTGAATGCATGCTGCTGTTGCGGTGAGAATTGTCTGCTCATTGCCTGCGATTCGCGGTTGATGGGCAGAACATGGAAAGCATCTGACGGGAAAATGTTCCCTATCAGTGATTCCTTCTGGTTAAATAGGTATTGTATACTGTGGATATATGTCTGCAGTTGTTGGACAGATGATTTATATCATGTCCTTATCAGATAACCACATTATACTGCACTCCGGGAGCCCATTTCTGAAACCTTTACTTTCATTCAGGGTTGTATGACTCTCTGTGCTCAAGTGTTGGCTTGTGAGCCTCCTTGATGCTTGGCCCTGAACTGAGATGGTGCTACTGTACCCACAGTTGGGTGTGGTAGAATATCATGCCCTCTGGGGCTAGAGGTGAGACTTGAGGGAGGTGATCCAGATGAGGCGTTCCCAACGCCTTCGTCCGGACCAGAGTAAACCTTGAAACATCTACTCACCTCCCTCTGAGGGTATTAACATCTGCTCTCATCCTCCTCCCCTTAATTCCCCGAAAACCACCCCCCTGAGCGAGTTTAGGAAGGAGCCTCCTGCGCTTGCATTGCAGTCTCTCATGCTGTACCTATGATGTTTTGGTTAGTTTCTATGTCTCATAGAACTACCTACTGAGGGTACGGACCTAAGCGCTCTTCAGACTTCGTCTTCAGATTATATCTGTGAACTTGAGTCATGCGTGGGAGCCGTGGTTGGTGGGTACGATCCTTTTAATTTACTGTATTGCTAGTTTTATGTGAGCTAGTGTTATGTGAATTCACTAACTAGCTTTTCTCCGCAGCGCTACTTGGACCTGTCTTCCTGTGTTTCTGACTTTGTTTTAGGGTTAGGACCTCTGCAAGCACCTCCCCTGCTGAAGTCAGAACCTCTTGCTGTTGATCGATTGTGGTGATGGTGGCTCACCCGTCGGTACTGGATCCAGGCTGGATGATAGCCCTTCATCTTTGGCTTCATGCTTACTGGACCACGCAGCCAAGTTGCTGGGCCTCTGCGTGAGCCTCCTCAGCCAATCAGGTCCGCAGTATAACACTGCAACCTCAAAACCCGTGGGTCCTTGTTACGACCCTTTAAGATGGTCTAAGGGTAAAAGGAGTAACATTAAACCTGTGGCAAATCTGTAAACTTGATGGAGGCAGCCAAGAGACAATGCAGGGACACAAACTGTCAACGAAAGTGATTTAATATACAAGGTGAAAAGAATCCATATAACTACAAAATATAAATCATTAAAGAGACAACCCATATGTACAAATATTTACAACTCAGGAAAAAGGGAAACAAATACAAATCAACCCAAGAGAAAGGGGATGCTAGTGACGCCAAAAGAAAGAAAGAAACACAACAAAACCACTTCTACCTTATTTTAAACCTCTAACCTAACTAAAGATAAGAAAGAAAAGAAAAGAAACAAATCTTCAGTGCCAAGCGCCATATACTTCCCTACTCTCAACTAATAACAATGAAACTTATAGGGGGTGGCGTTCACCTCTTACCTATGGTGTCTAAACAGATAAAGTTACCTAAATGTTGCACAATGGAAGTCGCACGACATCTTCCCTATCCACCTTCCTCTTGAGTAAACGTCATAGAGCATAAGCTCATCAAAGCTCAAAGAGCAACGCCATCCGAGTCACAAAGTAACAAAATAACCAAACGAAATGGCAAATCAAAAAAGTAATAAGACAGCAAAAATCAGGGCGCAAAAGAGGTCTCCATTCACGTCTCTCCATGTCCTTTTATCTGGACAGCGGATAGGTCGGCGTCAAGTTGCTTAATGATGACTGACAGCGTCATGAGCCAATCAGCAGTCAAGGAAGGCAGCCTAAGAGATCGATAGAGAAAGGGGAGAGAGAGAGAGCGAGAGAGAGGGAGGGAGAGAGAGAGTGAGAGAGGGAGAGAGAGAGAGAGAGAGCGCGCAAGAACACAGGCACTCCCATAAGGACATATATGGACGTAACACTCCCACCCTTAAGAACAAACTCGTTTGAAAAAAAACAAACAAAAAAACAACAACTACAACACATACCAACTATACTCTCGAAAGAGCATCAGCTAAGTCATTCTCCGAACCCTTCTTATGTCTGATTTCTAAATTGTAGTTCTGGACAATAAGAGCCCAATGCATTAAACGCTGATTGTGGTTGTACATTCGAGTTAAAAACACTTAGATGATTGTGATCTGTATATACCACAATCGGAAGACTACTGGAACCAAGGTAGACCTCAAAGTGTTGTACTGCGAGCAATAAAGCAAGAGCTTCTTTTCAATAGTTGAATAATTCAGCTCATGTTTGTTAAACTTACGAGAGTAATAACTAATAGGATGTTCTATCCCATTCTCATCCTCTTGAATAAGAACAGCACCAGCACCCACGGCGCTTGCATCAACCTCCAGCTTAAAATTTCGAGTACAATCAGGTGCCATTAAAACGGGTGCATTACACATCAAAGTTTTAACTAAATCAAAAGCATGTTGGCTCTCAGCAGACCACTCATAAGATTTAGACGGGCTAAGTAGTGACGTAAGAGGGCTCACGACCGTCGAGAAATTCTTACAGAAGCTACGATAATAGCCTGCCATACCCAGGAACCTCCGCAACTCTCTACGGGTAGTAGGAACCGGAAATTCCGTTATGGCTGTGACCTTGGCCTCTACCGGTCGTACTTGGCCTTGACCAACCTCCTTACCGAGGTACGTGACAGTTGCTTTGCCAAATTCACATTTTGCTAGGTTAAGTGTTAAATTTGCTTTAACAAGTCGTTCAAACACTGTTCTCAACAGGCAAATGTGTTCGGTCCAACTCAACGAATACAACACCAGATCATCAAGATACGCGTTGCAATTTGGTACATCATGTAAAACGATATTAACGAGGCGCTGGAAAGTTGCTGGGGCATTTCTAAGCCCAAAACCAATCGCCGTATACTGGAGGAAGTTATCTGGGGTTACAAAGGCTGAAATCTCCGAAGCTTGTGAGGTGAGTGGAACTTGCCATTATCCTTTCAGCATATCAAGCTTTGTAACAAAACATGCAGAACCGATGTTATCTATACAATCCTCCATTCGAGGTAACGGGTAACTGTCTGGCACAGTCACAGCATTTACCTTACGGTAATCTGTGCAGAATCTGAATGTGCCATCGGGTTTGGGAACAAGTAGGCACAAAGAAGTCCAAGGACTGCAGCTGGACTTTGTTAAATCATGTTCCAACAAATACTCTACCTCTTGACGCATAACAGATCTTTTCATTGAGTTTACGCGGTAAGCATGTTGCTTAATAGGACGAGCTCCGTTCACATTAATATCGTGTTTCAGGACATTTGTTTGTGTAGGAACATCACCAAACAGACATTTAGAACCAGAAAGTAATTTTTCAATGTCTATTCTCTGATCCACGGTCAAATGATTAAAGATATGAGGGAAGATCTTCTAAAATCTCTGAATTTGCTAACCTTGCACACTGCTGAAAAGTATGATGAAGCACCACACCATCTGTGTCCACACCCAAGGTAACAGTAGATGGCGTCAGATCCATGGCTAGCGCAACAGAAGAGACAACGGGCCCTGCAGTCTGTTCCACAGCACCGGCCGTTGGCGTTGACGACTCTCTGGTATGATAAGCTTTTAACATGTTTAGATGACAAACACAGGTTTTTCGTTTTCGATCAGGTGTGTACAACATATAATCAGTTTCACTCATTCTCTTTTTCACAACATAGGGACCAAAGAAACGAGCAGACAAAGATGATCCTGGGACAGGTAACAACACAAGCACTTCGTCACCAGGTTGAAATGATCGCGCTACCGCTTGCTTATCATATTTACTCTTCATGTCTTTCTGAGCATTGGCAACAGATTCTCTAGCCAGCGACCAAGCAGTATGTAGACGATCTCGAAACTGGCTCACATAATCCAGTACACTAGTGTTTGAATTCGAATTGGGTGCTAAAATCCGTTCTTTGAGAACCTTCAGTGGACCTCTAACTTGGTGTCCAAACACAAGTTCGGCTGGGCTAAAACCAAGGGATTCTTGAACGGTTTCTCTGACAGCAAATAAAACTAAGGGAACCCCCTCATCCCATTCTTTAGCAGTGTCGTGGCAATATTTCCTAAGCATTGACTTAAGGGTTTGGTGAAAGCGCTCAAGTGCGCCCTGACTCTGCGGGTGGTACGCACTTGAGACTCGGTGAGAAATTGCCAATGATTCAAGTACTTGTTTAAAAAGTTTCGATAAATTCGTACCTTGATCAGTTTGCACTATTTTTGGGAGTCCAAACGTGGAGAAGAACTTCACCAATGCTTTGCTGACAACAGGCGCAGTGATTTTTCTTAACGGAATCGCCTCTGGAAATCTGGTGGCCACACACATAACAGTTAATAAAAACTGGTTACCAGACTTAGTCTTAGGTAACGGACCAACACAGTCTACCATCACATGTTCGAACGGATCTCCAATCGCAGGTATAGGAGACAAAGGAGCGGGTGGAATTCTCTGGTTTGGTTTCCCAACAATCTGACAGGTATGACAAGTACGGCAATAATGAGTAACATTTGTTTATAATCCTGGCCAAAAGAAATGACTCAAAATCCTATTATACGTCTTTGTAACTCCTAAATGACCAGCAAGCTGGTGATCATGAGCTAAGCACAAGACATGTTGACGATAGGAAAACGGGACAACAATTTGATAAACAACATTCCAATCTAAATTCTTGTCAACATGAGAACACCACTTTCTCATCAGTAAGTCATTATCAATAAAGTAAGCAACTTTATTATCCGTAGCCACATCAAGGGAAATGGCAGAATTAAAAGAATTCACAAGAGTTTTATCCTCTTTCTGCGCAGCAATAATTCTCTCACGTGACACTGGTAATTTGAGTATATCTGCATCAGACACAATTACATCTTTGTTTTCTGTCTTTGAATGGTTTTCCTTTTCAAGACTCATATCCAATGATGTGTCACCCGACAACAGTGGAAACATGAATGAATTAGACAGATCAACTACATCAGCTACTCTGCGCGACTGAGCGTGCGTAACGGCGCAAGCTGGAAAAACATCACGGTAAGTTTCAGACAGTACCTCTAACTCACAATACGCATCTGGTTCATCAACAACTTCAATAACAGGCATTACCTTTCCACCTGCCAGGTCATTTCTAAGAATAACATCAACACCTTTCACAGGAAGTGAAGGACTCACAGCAGCTCTCACAAAGCCAGTACACAGCTCGCTCTGTAAGTGCACACGATGGAGCGGAAATCTCATGCAACCCATCTCAATGCCTTGCACGATCACACTAGTGCCACAAAAGGTCTTGTCCGACAGCTGTAATTTACCTGCCAAAATAAAGGATTGCATGGCGCCAGTGTCCCTGAGTATTCTTACTTCTTCCTGGTCCTCCCTTTTCCCAGACAGAGATATTAACCCTTTTGACACAAAGGGCCGATAACTCTCATCAATTCTTTCTGCAGGATGCACAGCGACCGCAGACCTTAAAGCTTTCACCAACCCCACGCTCTTTGGTGTGGCTGTTGCTTGCGCTTCAAAGCCAAACAATCAGCAATCACATGCCCTTTCTTGTGACAGTAAAAACATTCACGCTCCTCTTTATTATGAGGTGGGCTAAATCTTGAACGTGAAGTTTGAGATTGAGAACTGTCAAACTAACTTTTCAGGACGTGCAGAGGAAAATACATTCTTGTGAGTTAAAACAAACTCATCTGCGAGTACAGCTGCATGTGATAACTTGTCAGACAGCTGTAATTTACCTGCCAAAATAAAGGATTGCATGGCGCCAGTGTCCCTGAGTATTCTTACTTCTTCCTGGTCCTCCCTTTTCCCAGACAGAGATATTAACCCTTTGACACAAAAGGGCCGATAACTCTCATCAATTCTTTCTGCAGGATGCACAGCGACCGCAGACCTTAAAGCTTTCACCAACCCCACGCTCTTTGGTTGTGGCTGTTGCTTGCGCTTCAAAGCCAAACAATCAGCAATCACATGCCCTTTCTTGTGACAGTAAAAACATTCACGCTCCTCTTTATTATGAGGTGGGCTAAATCTTGAACGTGAAGTTTGAGATTGAGAACTGTCAAACTAACTTTTCAGGACGTGCAGAGGAAAATACATTCTTGTGAGTTAAAACAAACTCATCTGCGAGTACAGCTGCATGTGATAAAGTAGTTACCTTCTGTTCATTAAGGTATACTACTACACATTCAGATAAACATCCCTTAAACTCCTCCAGTAACATCAAGTCTCTTAAAGAGTCAAAATCACTCGCTTTACTGGCAGTGCACCATTTATCAAACAACACTCCCTTCTCTCTAGCAAACTCCACAAATGTTTGTGTAGGACTCTTTTTGTGTTTCCTAAAACGTTGTCTATAAGCCTCTGGAACCAAATCATATGCTCGCAGGATAGCAGACTTCACAGACTCATATTTCAGACTCTCTTCTAGCGATAACGTAGAACAAACTTCTTGCGCTTTACCAAATAATCTACATTGCAAAAGCAAAGACCAGACCTCGTTAGGCCAACGAAGAGAAGTTGCGATGCGTTCAAACGCACTGAAGTAAGTATCCACTTCTGTTTCTCTAAATTGAGGAACGAGTGCAATGTGTCTACTCACGTCAAAAGCCTCTGGGGCTAAACCAACCCGCGGAGAAGGAGAAGAGGCGTGAGCGGTGTCCGGCTGTACAGCTGAGCCAGTAGCAACTTTTGATGCACTTAGCTCAAGCTGCCTCAGCTTCACCTGCTTGTCTGCCTCGATTTCCAGCTTACGTACTTCCAATTGCAAATTCAGTTCAGCTTGGCGCGCCTGGGCTCTCTCGTGCGCTTCATAATGCAAACGGGCCAGGCGGACCTTCAGTCATGTGCCTTCCCGTGAATCAACAGAACTGGGTGAAAACGGCTCAAACGGTGGTAAGCTGGCCTTGACTTCGGCCTCCGCCTCCGCGTCAGCATCAGCTCTGCCACTCCGCTTGTCCTCCTCCCCAGAACTGAATTGCGCCAGAGCCACGCCATCCATATCAACAACTCCGCCCGTTTCACCACCCCCAACGTTTGACGTAGGCCATACCTGCAACTCACTCAACCGCAAGATCAGTATTCGTTTTATCTCTCTTTTAAGAGACTGTTTACCTACAACAACCTGAAAATGGTCTGTGATCTGCAATAAATCCTGCTTCCTACACAAATTAATCTGCTCTATAGATGGACTGGTAATAAAATCTTGCAAGTTAAACACTTCCATAATAAATAACCAACCAATAAGAATAACACTAGTACACCGCATGAGTAAGTCCTATACTGTCACAATACCCCAAACAATGCAATGTCCATTCTTTGCAACCAACACATCTACAAAATTACCACAATTACCATAATTTTGGGGATTAATTGATCCCGGACGAGCCCCCATTAGATGTTACGACCCTTTATGATGGTCTAGGGGTAAAAGGAGTAACATTAAATCTGTGGCAAATCTGTAAACTTGATGGAGGCAGCCAAGAGACAATGCAGGGACACAAACTGTCAACGAAAGTGATTTAATATACAAGGTGAAAAGAATCCATATACAGTAACTACAAAATATAAATCATTAAAGAGACAACCCATATGTACAAATATTTACAACTCAGGAAAAAGGGAAACAAATACAAATCAACCCAAGAGAAAGGGGACGCTAGTGACGCCAAAAGAAAGAAAGAAACACAACAAAACCACTTCTACCTTATTTTAAACCTCTAACCTAACTAAAGATAAGAAAGAAAAGAAAAGAAACAAATCTTCAGTGCCAAGCGCCATATACGTCCCTACTCTCAACTAATAACAATGAAACTTACAGGGGGTGGCGTTCACCTCTTACCTATGGTGTCTAAACAGATAAAGTTACCTAAATGTTGCACAATGGAAGTCGCACAACATCTTCCCTATCCACCTTCCTCTTGAGTAAAGGGTAAACGTCATAGAGCATAAGCTCATCAAAGCTCAAAGAGCAACGCCATCCGAGTCACAAAGTAACAAAATAACCAAACGAAATGGCAAATCAAAAAAGGGGAAAGGATCAAAAATGTCAGAACAAAAACACCAAGGATTTTGGCATAAACAAATAAAGCAAGTCAAAAACTAGTAAAAGGACAGCAAAAAATCAGGGAGCAAAAGAGGTCTCCATTCACTTCTCTCCGTGTCCTTTTATCTGCCGGCAAAAACTTTACCAGCAGCGGATAGGTCGGCGTCAAGTTGCTTAATGATGACTGACAGCGTTATGAGCCAATCAGCAGTCAAGGAAGGCGGCCTAAGAGATCGATAGAGAAAGGGGAGAGAGAGAGAGATAGAGCGAGAGAGAGAGAGAGTGCGCAAGAACACAGGCACTCCCACAAGGACATATATGGACATAACACTCCCACCCTTAAGAACAAACTCATTTGAAAAAAAAAATAAATAAATAAAAATACAACTACAACACATACCAATTATACTCTCGAAAGAGCATCAGCTAAGACATTCTCCGAACCCTTCTTATGTCTGATTTCTAAATTGTAGTTCTGGACAATAAGAGCCCAACGCATTAAACGCTGATTGTGGTTGTACATTCGAGTTAAAA